TGTCAAAAAAATAAATAAAATCTTAAAAAAAAAAAAAAAGGCAAACATTGAGAACTAAATTTACAGTAAATATGAATGTATTTTTTAAAAGTATATAAACTTTTTTATAGCAATAGAAAAACCAATAACTTAGTAATAGACAAAGAATATGACTAGATAATATTTTGGAGAAGAAATACAGTGCCTTTTAAATATCTGAAAAGAAGTTTGACTCCTCAGTAATCAAGAAAAGGAAAATTACTGCAAGGTAACATTTAACACACATGACTTGGCTGAAAATTAAAATGTCTCATCATATAAAGTGTTGATGAGGATACAGAAAAATAGGAATTAAACTGTTGGCGAAGGAGCTTTGGGAGAGCAATTTGGCAAAATCGATAAAGGTCACAATGTACATAGTAACCTAGTAGTTCTGTTTCCATTTAATTATATATCTTAGAGAAAACCTCTCAAATTTGCTTATGGAGTAAAGAATATTCATTGCAGTATTTGGATTATTGTAAAAGTGACAGGGAATGTCCGTCAGGAAAGGTTAAATTATGGTACATTTATCCAGTGGAGTATTATGTAACTATTAAGAATGAACTTATAGCTATATGTACTAATATGTAAGATGTTAAATGAAGAAAGCAAGGAGCAGAATAGTTTATGTGATGTGTTACTACTTACATAAAGAAAAAAGAATCTACACATACGTATGTATATGCTTCTATACAAATAGACTATCTCTGGAAGGATATGCAATCTTATTAGGCAGTTGTCACTGGGAGGGAAACTGGAAGGAGAGACTTAGCTGTGCACCTTTTTGCAATATTTGAATTTTTTTCAGGGCTCCACATGACATGAATGCTTCAGTGCATGTATTATACACAAAAGCAGTTGGATGGGTAGTAAAACAGTGACTGTTTCATTCACATAAACATTTGTCATTAAGACTAAATTAGAGTCTCCCAAACAAATACTTCTTATTTTGAATGTTCCTCATTTGAGCTGTACAATCATCTTCTAAAATCATCTTCTAAAATGTAATAGCATTTTTTTTTTTGCATGACATTTGTTTTACTTGTATAAAATGGATGAAATCCTTGCTATCTCTTAGGGTGGTTTCTGCTTATTCAACTCTGATTTCTAGTGCTTGGCATCTGGTTAGAGCTCAATAAATTTTTATTATACAGAATTATCCTTCATTTTCATAACTAAGACTTTTATCAATGCAGAATGATTTCTTTCTATCCCCCCAAATTAGAGTAAATTAGTAGTGTTTGCTGTACATTGCATTTTTCTATTTCAAATTAGTATTAATGATTCTACCAAGAAGTGGCTGTCCTAAAATGAATAAATTTTTTCTTTGTATTTTTAATCATTGAGGTTATAACTCATTATGATATCATTGAGAAATAATTTAATTGTTATATATGCAGACTTTCTAAAGAAGATAAAGCCTTTTTGTGGGAGAAACGCTATTATTGCCTCAAACACCCAAATTGTCTTCCTAAAGTACTAGCAAGTGCCCCAAACTGGAAATGGGTTAATCTTGCCAAAACTTACTCACTGCTTCAGCAGTGGCCTCCATTGCACCCACTGACCGCGTTGGAACTACTTGACTCAAAGTAAGTTAACCATGACTGAATGTACTTGCTCTATTTTACTCTTGCCAGTTTTTCCAGTAAGGTGTATTATGTTGCAGGAATACTTCCCTTTGTTTTAACATGAAAGCAATTCAGTGCAATATAATGCAATATACATAGCAATTCAATGCAACATACTTTTTGTGCTAGGGTTATTAAAAAGAGATGTCAGGGGGCGCCTGGCTGGCTCAGTTGGTAGAACATGGGACTCTTGATCTCAGGGGGGTCATGAGTTCGAACCCCACGTTGGGTGTAGAGTTTACTTTTAAAAACAAATTAGAAAAAGAATAGAGATGACATGTCATTTAAAGACTAACCTAAAGGGGCACCTGGGTGGCTCAGTTGGTTAAGCGTCTGACGTCAGCTCAGGTCATGATCCTGGAGTCCCTGGATGCAGCCCCACATCAGGCTCCCTGCTCAGTGGGGAGTCTGCTTCTCCCTCTGCCCTTCACCCTGCTTGTGCTCTCTCACCCTGCTCGTGCTCTCTGGCTCTCACTCTCTGGCTCTTGCTTTCTCAAGTAAATAAATAAAATCTTAAAACAACTAACCTAAAGAGGGATTTAGCTTCTAAATTTTGAATAATTTGTTATATTTTTATGATGTAACTCAAAATTTTCATAAGCTTAAGGTTTCTGAACAGTCCTGAAGTTGAATTTGTATAGTACAGTAAGATTTTTCTTCCTAAAAAAAAAAAAAAAACACATTGCATTTGAATATAGAGCTATTTGAATATTCTTTGTCAGGTATAGATGAAGATTGTGTTTCTAGGAAATATAGCTTCACTAGAAAGAAATCACCATCAAATCTTGATTTTTATGTTACTTCTCTAGATTTGCTGATCAGGAAGTAAGGTCCGTAGCTGTGACCTGGATTGAGGCTATAAGTGATGATGAACTAACTGATCTTCTTCCACAGTTTGTACAGGTGAGTTTTTTACTAGGTTACCTGTCCACGGTACTCCACCCATTTTTTATGAGTAGGGAACTTGCTAAAGGATCCCCATTCTGTTTTGATTAAAAGTACTTCTGTGGGAATGTTGAGGTACCTTATGTTTCGATGTAGTATGAATTTTTTTCCACTATTGTTAGCTGCCACACTTGAGTATTATATATATGTACCTGGATTTTTAATTCTCACATTTTTAGATTCTCAGAACAAATCAGACTTGAACTTTTCTTTGATTTTTCTTTACTAGCCATTTAAACATACTAATGAATCTTATTCCCAAATCTACACTTTTCTGCTTGATTTCATAACATATATAAGTTAATTCATCTGTTTCATTTTTATCAGTGTTTTCTCTTTCCTCATAATGGAGTATGGGTTTGACCACTAGTAATTCTTATTTTCCTTTACGTGTAGGCTTTGAAATACGAAATTCACTTGAACAGTTCATTAGTGCGCTTCCTTCTGTCCAGGGCATTGGGAAATATACATATAGCTCACAATTTATATTGGTAAGATTTAAACTTTTTTTTAAGTAATTTATTTCCATTCCTAGTATTTATAGAGATGATACACTCTGAAAGTCTAAATGGTATGCTCAGACTGCTTATTATCAATACCAGATGTTTGATTAAGGGCATTATTAAAGAAGCCAGATTTTTATGTCCTTAGAAATAAAACCAAAAATAACAAAACTCTTTATTGCAAAGATATTTGGCATGTTAGAGCTCCATAATAATGAGTTCTTATATAGCTTAAAATAAATTCCTGGATACCAAAAAATGAACCTAAGTTGATATTCAAGAGACATTCATCCAGTTTTCAGAAGTGACTGACATAAATATTTTGCTGTATTAGGCTCCTCAAGGATGCCCTGCATGATGCACAGTTTGGTGCCCGATACGAACATGTTTTGGGTGCTCTCCTCTCAGTAGGAGGAAAAGGACTCAGAGAAGAACTTTTGAAGCAGACAAAACTTGTACAACTTTTAGGAGGAGTGGCAGAAAAAGTAAGGCAGGCTAGTGGATCAGCCAGACAGGTATGTACCCAAAAAGAGGGAACATAAATATTTTGATGTTAAAGGATCTCTACAGTATTAATGAGTTGTTATTCTTTACCAGTAGGCATCCAATAGACTCTAACTATACCTATGCTATTTTGAACAGATGAATTCAAAGGTTGTTTAAAACCATAGGAAAAGGTTTTACAACCTAACTCAGAAAATTAGTGTTTTTTAATTCCCATGCTTATGAATTCCTTCCTGGTCACAATTGTTCTCTTGAGTTTCTTTTTCATTATTTTGTTTTTTTACTTTTTTGTAACTGTAAAAGTAATGCAACTATGAGTTGTTGCTAATGTTTAAAAAATCCAAATAAGGGGCGCCTGGGTGGCTCAGTTGGTTAAGCAACTGCCTTCAGCTCAGGTCATGATCCTGGAGTCCCGGGATCGAGTCCCGCATCGGGCTCCCTGCTCGGCAGGGAGTCTGCTTCT